TGTGTGTGTGTGTGTGTGTGTGTGTGTGTGTGTGTGTGTGTGTGTAACCGTGTTCTACATGACAAAAGAGTCATACACACACACACACACACACAGAGGCAGCAGTTCAGACTCCGGTGGTGACCGGTCATGTAAAGCAGCTGGCTGTCAATAGCAACCGCATCTCAACGACCTCGCAGCCATTCAGATGCTAATACACACACACACACACACACACACACACACACACACACACACACACACTCAGACCAGGTCTTGAACCTCGGTCATTCATGCCTAATCCTGTACACACACACACACACACACACACACTAACATAATATCTCTGCAGCTCATATATACACATCTTCCTGAGCCCAGTGACGGTTAACTATGTTACCGCGGTAACCCAGTTAATCAGTAAAACTCATTTACCAATGATTTTACAGCCTGTCATTAATTTATTGGTTTATTTTATGCAAATATTCCCTAATATTCCCACACCTGAACATAATCTAACATAATTGAACATGTTTGAGCTGTAAACAGAGTGAAAAGTACTATATAGAACCCTTTTTGAAAATGGTTCTATACAGCACCAAAAAGGGTTCTTCTACTTTTACTATGTCAAGCTTGTAACAATAGAAAAACCCTTTCCATCAATCTGAAGAACACTTTCGTGATGCAAAGAACCCTTTATTCATGCAAAAGGTTTTTTGAGTGTTCTTGGTTCTATGTAGAACATTTTCTTTACTAAAGAACCCTTGGAGAAACATCTTTTTAAAGTGTGTATTCTTAACTATCTAGAGCTGCAGCCCTGCTCTGCCTCAGGGTGGCGCAGTAGCAGACTGGTTCACCCAGTTGGTCCTTCATAGCCTAGAAACTGTAACTCTGCCCGGATTCCTCTGAAAAACTTTACAATGTGCTGCAGAGTTTGGAGTAAAGAGTGAATTGTTACCCAAACTGAAGATAAAAGAGATGAGGAAGATCTCAGTTAACGTGAGGAAGAGCGCCTAACCACACTAGAACAGAGACTTTACAGAGGAACAACTGTAAAACCAGCGCCAGCAGCCGACATTGGACTCCTCGAACACCAGAGGATATTTCGCACACTCTAAACGACAAGTATATTAACTAAATTCCTATGTAGCATCAGTATAAACAGCTATTGTAAACATATGAACAAATAAATAAATAAATTTCTTTATAAAGTATCACTTAATGGCAAAAGCTGGCACCACCACTCCAAACCTTCCTTCGCGGTCATATGGGGGTTTTGCTTTGCCTTTCTGGGCAGCATAGCAGCAGTTTTATCTGAGAGCTTTCAGATCCGGCCTTGACTTCCACAGTTCCCCTTAACTGCCACCGGTGACCTGGAAGTGCTAAAATATCTTCCAGAGCTCATGATTGTTGTGCATAAGCACAAGCTTTGAAGAGAGAATTGATTACGCTTGACCTGCCCTAATGAGTCAGTTGGGTCCTAACGAATTAATTAACTTCTAAGACTTTATGGTCTTCTTTAGACTGCCGGCCCTACTCTGATTTTTGGAGTATCTAGATTGTATCCTGATTGATTTTTGATAGTCTAGACAGCTAACTACATGTGGAGGTCATGCGAAATGTGATTCCAATCAGATTTTTACAGACGCATCTCAGTCTGGACGCTCTGGACAGATTTCAGTGTGTCTCTTGCGTCATTTGCAGTGACAATGCCGAATCCAGAGTGACAGAATTGCTGGGAATCGGAAGATCGGCGAAGATTCTGAGATTTCTTCAGAGTTTGGAGAGCGAGATGATGCACCTCCATCTTTCCTGCATCTACGTTTAAAATCCAGCGTAGCTACGTAGTTACTGACGCCTACATTGTCACCACAGCAACCCACGCAGATAGGCTGGTGATGTCTGGACACGCAAACCTGATCCGTCTAGACAGTCATCTCAAAAGATCTGATTTGAGAAACAAATCCGCCACGGCTACGTTCACATTACCAGGCTGAAGTGGCACAAATCCGATTTTTTGACCTAATGTGACTCAGATCTGATGTTTTCAGAGCTGATTCTTTTCAAATCCAACCTGAGCCACTTTCATATGTGGTCCTAGATTGGATACATATCTGATTTGTGGCCATGCGACCTTAATGTGACGCTCAGATTGGAATTAATGTGCTTTTTTTCCCACTGCGCGTGCACCATCATTCAGCGTTACCATGGCAGCAGCGCCGTACAGACGTTAAAGCCTGTAAACAGTGGAAAAGCAGCTCATCTCACCTTTTTCTCCTTCGTCTCGCTCTAATAATGAAGCTGAGAGCTGATCAGAGTTAATGATCTTCTCAGCGAAGCTCGTTCTGCTCGTTAGTTTGTGCTGATGATGCACATGATTCATTCACGTGACGTTACTGAGTAGGATGTGCTCATGTGGGTCATTTCACATTAATGACAGATTAGAGTCACTTACCTAAACGAGTGTGAACCATCGTGTCAGAGAGATCAGATTTGAGCAAAAAATCAGATTTGAACAAAGAAGCTTGTAATGTGAATGTAGCCCAATTCGCCTGCAGTCTGACCGTAGCCTATGACTGGTGCTAAAACTTTTGCACAAGCCCCAAATACTATTTTTTTCTTCTATTTTTAGGTTAATCAAACATAAAGTACGAGTGCATTAACATCTGCAGAAAATGTTGCTTTTTAAAAACCATTATTGATAAATCTACTATTATTATTATTATTATATTATATCTCGTTGTTGTTGTTATGATTGTTATTGTTGCACTATGTATGAAATAATCTGTGGGCACAAAAAAGCATAGGAGGCAAAGCAAAAGGGAAAAAATATGACTACGGAAAGGCAGGTTTGCCTGCTTTTATGGGTCTCAGAAACAATACGCTTTAATAATTCAGATAACTGTGAGGGTTCGTGATCAAAGCCTTCAGTCTGTATCTGACTACACACACACAAACACACACACACACATACCACACACAAACCCCACACACACACCACATGTTGCCATGCGAGAAAAAAGAAAAACGCCCCATCAGACTCCTCAGCTGACGAAGACTAAAAGACGGTTTACGCTGTGAAATATTCATGCTTCCCAGCGCTGTGCGCGAGCGCTAGCCTCCAGCTCTGCCGCGCTTTGGAAGTTTAGAGATTTGACGGCGCCGTAAACAGGCCGCATTAGCGCGGGCCTGCAGGAGTTGAAGGCAGAGCCGATAGCGCTTCAAAGGAGCAAACACAGCTACGAGGAAATCACGGCTAATGGAGCAGCATTTAACATGCAGCGCCGCGGCACGAGTGGCCCCAACTCACAGTCAGCCGTGAACTCCTCAGCTTCCATGTCAGTTTTAATCGCGCTCATTGCTGCGGCGCTGATGCCCCCACAGCTGCAGCGGCGTCAGGTTCAATGTCGCGTTGAAGCAGCACTGTGTTATATCTTTTGTTACAACTGAAAGAAGTGTCATTACTGAGTGTGTAGAAACAAGAGTCGCCCTGTAGAGCCTGAAATAATCGTTTAAAAGTCAGAGGCGTCGAGTTTTTCGCACCACGTCGTACGTCTATATATTAACGTCACACACAGACTCCAAAAGAGGGTCCGGCTCGATGTTTAGGCCTCAAATGATCTCAAAATCAACATTACTGATGAAGATGTGACGACGTAGAGAATTATCATCTCACATCCTCAGAAGACGCGACAAAAATTTTCTTTCGACTAAATTCTCTACGAATTCTGTTTTAATACACTCGGAAAAGTCAGATCCATCCACTTTAGGGGGTCTGAAGGTCAACCGACCTTACGAAATGTTCTTCCGTACGTTGCATGCAATTACATATTTTCGCCAGAGAGGGCTCCAAATCCCCTAAAGGAAAGAGGCAAAGTTGGCACTGCACTTGCTCCGTGACAGACTCGAAACTCGAACTCGCACCTCAGAGACTCGAGACTCTGCTTAGAGTTGCACCTCAGAGACGTGAGACTTGATTCGGACACCAATAAAACTCGAGACTCTGACTCACACTTCAGAGATTCAAGACTGGACTCTGACTTGAACCTTAGCGATTCGAGACTCAACTCTGACTCGCACCTCAGAGACTCCAGAATCCACTTAGACTTGCAGCTCAGAGATTCAAGACTTGACTCTGACTTGCACCTCAGAGATTCGAGACTCGACTCTGACTCGCACCTCAGAGACTCCAGAATCCACTTGCAGATCAGAGACTTCACACTTTTCTCAGACTTGCACCGATAAAACTCGAGACTCGCACTTCAGAGATTCAAGACTTGACTCTGACTGGCACCTCAGAGATTTGAGACTCAACTTAGAGTTGCAGCTCAAGAGACTTGAGACTTGACTTGGACTCGCACCAATAAAATTCAAGACTCGGACTTGCATGCCAGAGACCCAAGATTTAATTCGGACTCGCACCTCTGAGACTGGAGACTCGACTCGGACTCACACTCCAGAGACTCGACTTGGGCTCACAGCTGAGAGACTCAACATGGACTCGCATCTCTGAGACTCGAGACTCAACTCGGACCTGCACCCCACAGACTCGATTCGGACTTGCTCCTCAGAGGCTCAACTTAGACTCACACCTGAGAGACTTGACACGGACTTGCACATCATAGACTTGAAACTCGACATGGACTCGCACCCCAAAAACTCGACTCAGAGTGACACCTCAAAGACTCGACTCAGACTTGCATGAATGACTTGTGAGCATCTCTGATTTTGACATACTATTTAGCATGGTAGCATGTAACAAACATCGCTCCAACTTATCCCAAAGGTATCGGATGGAGCTGCATCACTCCAGAGAACACAGTTCTGCTGCTCCACAGCCCAATGATGGGGGGCTTTTTACCCCTCTACCCCTTTATACCCCTCAAAAACTATAAGAACGGAAACACATAATACAACTACATAAAAACACGCCACATGCAGGTTTACTTACACTCAGAGCACAAGCTAATGCAAACTTAGCGCTAGTGAGCTACCAAGTGCAGATAAATTAGCTAACTTACCTCTCATTGTAGGAGATTTGCTCGCCATCACGCCACTCCGCCTCAAACACCTGAAGAAAAACAACAGCTATTAATATTACTGTCAGTGTTAACCTGCCTCATTGCTGAGCATAGCTGGTTAGCATTAGCGAGCTAAACTAAAGGCTATCATGAAAAGTACCCAATCAGAATGGAACAAGCCTATTAAAAATAATAAAATCTCAACGTGTTAATTGTAAGAATTACAACATAACAACAATTTTCCTTAACAGTAGCAGTTTAAATACCTATGCTAATCTGTTTATTTCCAGCTAAGCTTCCAATCATGGTTAATACATCAGATATCAGATATTACTGGCGGTATATCAGTAAAAGACAATCAAGTGACATTAAATAAAACAAACAAAAATCAAAAATATACTACAAACAAATTAAGACTTTTATTTTGAAAAAAAAAATTGTATCTCAGTAAAATGACATAGTAGTCCATATTAATGTCACGGAAAATGTGTATAATTTATAAACGTTGATTTAAACATTCAAGAACATGTTATGGAGATGAGAGATAAGATGTTATGAATGTGTTATGTAGACACCTTTCAAGTAAAGCATCCCAAAAACTTTACAACAAAAACGTAAAGATCATTACTGTTTCTCAAAAGGCAAAAAAATACATATTCATTCACACAAGGTAAGGGTTTCCAATAAAGTGGACAGTGAATGCATGTTCTGATTATATATATATATATATATATATATATATATATATATGTCGGAACAAAACCTTGTGTCTTCAAAATGGCAACTTTGCAGTAGAAGGAAAAAACCTACTTTATTTTTAATGTAAGTCAATGGAGCCAGATTTTTTTCAAGTAATTTTTGACCGTTTCTTTTGGTCCATTCTTCATGAAATTTACACACAATGTAAAAAACAACAGGCACGTTCAGATTATGTCAAAAACTGAAAAACGGCAAAAACTGACATACAAGTTTTTTTTCCGACAGCAGCGCATTTATAACCGTAATAACTCATGTATGTTTGAACACAGTTCTAGCCAATGTTCGGCACGGGTCCATGGTTTTCTAGGATACTCTGCGACTTCACACTGCAATATATGGGTGATATACAGGCACATGACACACTATTACACGCTATGGCACACCATTAAATCCAGAATATGGGAATGTATGAGGTGCTGTTATCGGCTGGATGAAATTCGCTCCTACGGAAGGTTTCTGATGGCTGCCATTACAGCATGGAAGTACAGGAGATCAGGTTCCCTTTTTCTTTATGATTTCTGCTCATTAAAAATAGATCAATCAGCACCCCAGGCCACCGCAGGGGCCCACCGGTTCCTGTTTCACAGGAATGAGGTTCGCACAGTGTGAGGTGAATAACAGTGGTCCATTATGGCTTATTGTGGCAGTTTTAGCTACGAAAGTTAGCAGCATTGAAGTGATAGATTGACAAAAAATCTGATGTAGTCAATCAGCCAAGACATGTTTAGTGTCTCAAGTTTGCTTCTTTTGTTGTGAAGTGATGCTAATACTGCTAGCAGCTAATAGACATTTATTTCTCAACAATTAGCATTGTGCTATTACGATAATACTCTTATTTCATTGCTAACTTTTGGTTGGAAACAATAGGGTTAAAATCTTACAACGCCTAACAGAAAGTTGGCCAATCAGGATTGTTTTCCTCTGTGGTATCTAGGTAGATGCAGCCAAGCGAGCTCTCCCATTGGTTAGGGCTTCAGGAGCCAGACAGAAGGCCTTAAAAGTTAGAATAGCTACCTACATAATTAGGAACTGATGGTGGAATTGACCAATCACGCTTTGAGGAGGTTCTAGATAACCGAATGTTAATATAAGCCAGGTTTCGGGTAGTTAGGAATGGAAAACAGCGGCGGCAGCAACTGACTGTAAGATTCACTGTAAAACTGATACACAAAAGCTCAAATATGTGCTAATGTCTGTTAGAAGCTTCGAATAAATAATGAGTTTTACAAGCATCAAATGTGTTAAATCCAGAACAGCCATATATTTGTGTACGAGCATTAGCTCAGCGCTAACACACTACTGGAAACTACATGGGGACCTAAAAGAAATTAGCATTATCACAGGTTTGAGGTCTAAACTAAAAGGGATTCCTTAGCATGTTTGTGAATATTGCATGCTGGGAAATCGATGCTCCAAGTCAGACGCCCAGGAAACAAAGCTGTGTGAATAATACACACACACACACACACACACACACACACACACACACACAGACAGTTATATTGGCGTATTGATCACACCTTTGCATGCTAGTTTGCTCAATTATGCAGCTGCTGCTTGTGAAATAAGTCTCTGCTGAAAGACTGGAAATAACTGGAGAGGAATCACACACACACACACACACACACACACACACACACACACACACACACACTTTTTCTAAAGTTAACAGCCGAGAGATAACCAGTCGTCCCCCTAACGGAGCTGCAGACAGCCGGTATAACTTCACTCTGTGTTTCTGGAGATTTAAATGACGTTTGAATGGAGAAACATTAACGTTAAATATCAGACTGAATGTCGTGGGCCGGAAAACGACGTTGTGTTTCGACAGACGTGATTCTGTAAGTTTGCTAGTGCAGTTAGTTCAGAGTTCAGCTCCAGTCCTGAAACCCCTGCACTGCATAACTGTGGTTTCTTGGTTAAAATACCTGATATAATTAGCTAATTAATCCCTTCTTGAGCTGAACGAGGTGTGAACAGCAGAGAGAAACACTGAACTATACAGTGCAGGGGCTCCAAACCTGGAGTGAAAACACTGAATTAAAGGTCTGTTTGTCTCTCGTCTCTCGGCTTCTGTCGCGTCTTGCAGGTCAATCATTCACAAAGCACAGCTAATCAAAGGCATCGCACAGCGCAGTCGCTCCCTGATTCGGTCCTCAAAATGGGACGCGAGAATAAAAACGACGAACAAATGCGCCGGTGCAGCGATCTAGAAAAGGTAAAGAAGTTAACGACTGGTGTATCATTAGTGGTCTTACCATCATCCCGATATGCAAGTCCACGATGAATGTACGAGACATCGTTACTGGACGCTACTGGGCTCATACCCCACCAATTAGCCCGGCGCTAACCACGCACATAAATCATGTGGAGTCATTCAGTTTGTTCAGGAACCTCAAACACACTTGATTATGTGGTTTCTGACATATGTTTTGCTGAACTGTGCCTCTGGGCTGGCACTCACACACACTCACAAATGCCCATCAGCGCCCACACACACACACACACACACACACACACACACACACACACACACACACACATACACAACCTCTTCTCTTGCAGGCTGAACTGGCGTGAACACAGAGGCAGGAATTTAAATTCCTGTTTCAACCTGAACAAATAATTGCACACCCACACACATCACACACACACACACACACACACACACACACACCACACACCACACGCAGCTGTTTCTAAAGAGATAATTACACAAACACATCTGGAGCAGAAACACAAAAGCGCACAGAAGCTGGAGAACACCTACAGATATGGAGCACGTCCAGACAGCGCTTTAGTGTGTGTCTGTGTGTGTGTGTGTGTGTGTGTGTGTGTGTGTGTGTGTGTGTGTAAATCGGCAGTCCAGGCGAAAGTGATTGAGACCATGTGCTACTAGCAGGTCAATCTGATATTCCACTGTGAGAAATGTAATCTGTGAAGAACGCACACACGCACACACCTGTTTTCATCCGGTGCCAGGATGTGGGTCATAATGTGGGGCATACTTATATCTAAATCATATACAGGTAAGTATGCATATGTAACAATACCATGTCCCCATATGTATTATATACATGTAAGTGGTCATATGTACCAATACTACTTCCCATATGTATTGTATTTAAGCAATAGAAGACGAGAGGGAGTGTGTTATGTGCGAAATAACGTCATGGCTGTGATTTGGTCGCAGGCACAAGCCGAAGGCGATGTTATTGGCGATAACACATGACCTCAAGTGTTCTATTGCTTTTATACAACAGTTAAATAAATAAACCGGGCCATGAATATGGCATTTAATATGTTTCAATGCTTTAATTTAGCTAAATTATAGTTCCTTAACAAGTGGCTTGTTGCTACGTCAGAGTAACGAGCTCCGCCTACTCGCTGCACAGTCTGCTGTAAGCCTCGCCTTTTGAAGTACAAACTGAGCCATAAAACTGCCGCAATATCAGGTTCAGCTCAGTTTTGTCAGTTTTTGCCAGATCAGTATTAATGTTGTTCTGTTCCAGCCAGTCTGTAAAGCATCTTACAGCCCATTTAGTTTGGCGAATGGTGTTGGGTTCATTTCTGGCTGATTCCAGGTTGTTTAGCTGCTCTTCTGTCACAGCTGCCGACTGAAAAGCTGCTCAGTGGTGACGACAGTTTGGGAATTGAGTGTCGTCTCATCTTCAGAGTCTGACCAAATCGGCTGTCGGTCAAATGTGAGCTTAAAAGCATCCATTTTCTCTTTGTGGCAAAGTAAGAAGTAAAAACATTTAAATGGCTTGAGTGCCTCCTATAGCTGTCAAAGTCGTTGCTTAGCAATGGCGTCTAAGTGGAGTGATACAGTGTTCATGAAAAAACCATGATGTTATGGTGAAATAACAGCATGGTTAGAACGCTTCTCAACCAATCAGCTTGCGTGGCTGGAACTGTTGTATAAATGTAAGTAGGCATAAGTAATAATACCATATAATATGTATTATACATGTAAGTAGCTACATGTAATAATACTATGTCCCCATTATGTATTGTACATGTAAGTAGCTATGGTAATAATACTAAGTCCTCATTATGTATTATATATGTAAGTAGCTATATGTAATAATACTATGTCCCCATTATGTATTGTACATGTAAGTAGCTATACGTAATAATACTATGTCCCCATTATGTATTGTACATGTAAGTAGCTATACGTAATAATACTAAGTCCTCATTATGTATTATATATGTAAGTAGCTATATGTAATAATACTATGTCCCCATTATGTATTATACATGTAAATAGCTATTTGTAATAAAAATG